CGTTTCTTATAACTCCTCCTCTCTGCTTCGATATTTCTCTTCTCTCGTAGTACTATTCTCTTCAGGTTCATCTCTTTATCCTATCTGTATATCTTATAACGTATCTTCTTTCTCTTTGTCGCTACTTAGTCTCTTTTATGTAAGGCTAGCAAACTGACCTGACTCAACTATTGAGTGGTCTCTCAAGGGAAAGAGACGTGCTAATACATTCTTCTCTTTTTGGTTTGTCGTCGAATTTGAACATAAGAATTAGAATTTTCTATTATATTGTGTAATCAAAAAGCTATAATAAAAAGCATATTTTCTCATATTTTATGCAATTAAAATAATAATTATATTAAATATAATAGTTTGAAAAATTTCAATCACTTATTATATTTATATAAAAGATATAAATAGATTAAATAATTTTATAGAATTATATATTGTATGTAAAATATATAAAAGAATGTGTAAAAGAAAAAGATACTTAAATACGGAAAAGATTATCATAAAAAAGAGTTAAAAATTACTTAACTAATATTTTAGATTGCAATAGATATATTAATGTTAAAATTTATTGGAAGAAATATGTTTATAAATCTAAAATTGATTTTAATTATATTTTTCAGTATATTAAGTGTTGTATATTAAATATTGTTTGGAAATTGTATTTGATGGATATTAGAGCGTATCGTATAAATTCGCAAAAAAGATATATGACAATTTCTATGTGATCAGCCAGCGGAACGTTAAAAACTGTTTCGTGTGCACTCTGATTTCTTTTCGTCATGGGCCGCTTCTTCTTGTACAAATAATCGAGAATAGGAAAAGCATAATTACTGCTATGTTATTCAGGCTACAAGCAATCGATTTCTACAATGCCTTTACAATGGAATGAAAATATAGATATCGTTATTCATTTCTATTAATCTCGCAGAAAATGGACATGGATAGCTATAATAATAGATAAATAATAGATAATTTACATAATAAAATAATCCGGAATAAGTAAAAAAACGATATTATTGATCATATTTACAAATTAATTATTTCTAATCTTATAAATCACATCTAGAAATATTTTAAATCATAAAGATAAATTTTTCAATTAATAATATTATAAACAAACATATTATTTAAATATTCAATCATTTAGATTTACATTAAAATATTTTAATGTAATGGAATAGATAATATTATAATATGCGTCCTATATATATATATATCTTCATATTCATTGCTCAATTGAAGATGCATCCCATAATATATAATTATGATATTATTGATAATATTTTCTAGTGAATTAATTAAGCTAAATAATATTGTATTTGTATAGCTGAAAATATTCGAAATATTTTAAGATTATAGAAATTGCCATAAACGAAATAAAGCAAATAAAAATGTAAATATGAAAAAGAAAGAGACAGGGAGAAATATTAAACGTTTCAAAAACAATATATGTTTAAGCAAAAAAAAATTCGTTGTCTTCAATGTTATGTAGTCCGAATGTGAAGTACAACCCCAAGATAATGGGGGTAGCGCATCGCCATTGTAAACAGACTTGGAAGCAGTAAGCAGCTCCGGGATTTAGTTCGATGTGTTGGAGGACGGGGACAGCGGGAGGTGGTTGGGCGAGTCTGACGGTTGGGATGAGGAAAGCCGGAGAGTAGGGTGCCAAAGCGGGACGAGAGTAAGAGGGGACGTGTCGTGAAGAGAGGGGCAAAATGTCGAGGGTGGGAAGTTGCCGAGACATCGATCGGGCCGGCCATTGCTTGCCACACTCCACTACTAGGAGTCAAGATGCCATATCCACTACGAGGAACTAAACTCCATGAAACTACTCTCTGCCGCTCTCTACGCACTTGTCCTAACCCGCTGTAACTCTGTATAGGTGTACGCCGCGCGCGCATAGGTTGAGCCAACGCGACGGACGTGTACGACTGTTGGGGGACGATCACTGAGTAGAAAGAGAGAAAAAAAGGGAAAGGCAAAAGAGCAACCAAGAGGCGAAAAGCGAGTTTTGTGCGTGTATTACGTATAGGCACGCATGTATGTGTGTATGGGTATAACCACAACGAAACAAGTGTATGCGACACACTCATCGTTGCTGTTGCTGCTGCTTCCATGCTGGAGAATCGCGCATTCAGGCAAGAGAGAGAAAATCGTTTGTATATACTCACGGCCCCGTGAGGTCGCTTTTAAACGCGTACTCTCTCACATACTTGGGCCGTTCATGGACGTTCTTGCGCGGGGACATTGGCGAGCGTGAAGTAAGTTATAAATTGGCCCTCTAATACGTGGACAAACTTATTCCCGATGTAACCGTTGCAACTAATGGATTATAGCTCACTAGATGTTATTAATGGACTATCATTTCTTTAAATCTTATTAGTTTTTTTTTTGCACGATTGATTTGAAATATTTTAAATAATATAGTCGACATTTCGATCATATACGATATACGAGTGCACGTATTTCTTCGAATGTTAAATTTGTTAAATTGTTATTATTGTATTTCTAGAAATCATTCATTGAATAGATTTTGCATGGGAAAATTCTGTTTTAGTTATGTTCGTGCTCAAATCAAATTAATGTCTCGCTAAGTTTCTTCCTAATTGGAATTAGAGTAACAAGGTTTTCAATTGGTTCAAATTGGTTTGTTTGGGAAATTTGCCAATAGTATAACTAATGATTGTGTTTCAATATTTCCAGAATAATTACTATTTAACCTATTTTATATCTTTTTTTTCATCTTATATTTCTTGAAGTATAAAAGTAGTAGTAATATATGAAAAGTATTACGAGCGATTTTCTTTGTTTCTTTAGAAGTGATTTATTCCGTGAAGCGCGTCCAGAATGGGTGCGGAAACAATAAGAAAAGTTGTCGCGGTTTATGTGGAAAATTCTGATTCAGAGCGGAAGAGGATATAGAGAACTGTAAAGAGGGAGGGGTTGGCGAAGTCGACGGAGTGTATGTAACTTTGAAACTCAACAAGGGTATATTCATCGCGTTCCCTACTCATGAATAGAAGGGGACGAGCTGGCACATGTCTTGAGCCGCATTGGCATTGTTCTTTTTATGTATGCTTCTCGATCGAATTCTTCTTAACCCGAAGCAGAGTTATGCGAATGAATGATCTCTCGTACAAGAGATGCCGTAACAATTCTTTGCATCGTAATACTCGAACAGACTGCATCTGTGTGCGCACAGTCAGATCTGATTTAATGTCACTCGTCGGCCAGTATGAAGATACTTAAAGGGATGTTAAACGGTTTTGAGAAGCATTCCGTGTGTTCGACTCGTTCCATTCGCCACCTGTCGGCCTTTCTCTGTCTTCAAGGTTTCAAATATGAATGCAACGAATATGTGGAGGGGCTCGACACGAGTCCGTCCGTGCTCTTGTACTTTCCCCCATATATACTTTACTGTACGCTCTGTAGGTTATTACTGGTTGAAAGTTTGAAGCGGCGAACGATTGTACCGTCAGTTTACCGTCGTTGCTCCTATTATCGCTTTTGTTCAACGAACATAACTGGCGACGCCTTTTGTCAGTGGCTAATTAAAAGTTTCCACTAACTTGGAAATCTTTAACGTTGAATTTTTCTGTTACCACTGTTGTTTGCGCGAACACGAATCGCGGCGCTTGAATGGATTCGTAACTTTTGTCGGGAAATAGTTTGCCAAAGTAAATGTCCAACAACGATATTGAATACAGCAAGCCAAATATTTTTCAAATTGAATCGCATAAAGTTAATTATTACTTGCGCATATTTGAATACTAATCGCATAAATTTAAATGAGTTATTCAAGGAGCCGATTTGATTGGCATGATATGTAAGTATTAATGTATTAATACATATTTCTATATTTATCAAATGTAGAGAGAAGGGAACATATGAAAATTCATATTTCGACACTTAACATTATTCCATATATATATTTATTCCCAGATATTTTTAGAAATGATCTCAAGGCCAATACATCAATACAATTTGTTAAATTTAATAAATTTTTGATCATTTTTATAATTTTATCTCAATAAAAGATAGGATTATTTTAATATATTATGAAAAGAATTAATTAAACGAGTTAATTGAGCTTTACAATTATACGATAAAAAAATTTAAACGTGCTAGTTTTCTTTATTATCATAAAAGCAATATGAAGTGATTCATAGATGTATAGTAATATTTCATTGAATGAATTTACATAAGTAAATAAGTAAGAAATGTTGCGCAAACATATATGGATAATAAGTTATGACTAATTAAAAGAAACAGTTATTACTTACTATGTTTATTAAAAAAAAAAGATACTAAACATAATTAAAATGCTCTCTTTTTTATATTTTCAGTAATTTATTTATTAATATTAACATAAATTATTATAATAAAGAATTTAAATGATAATAAAAAATTAATTAATTTAATGTATATTGAAACAAAAAATTCATTTCGAAAATTTTTCACAACTTATTTATATGTAAACATATATTGTATATATTTTCTTTAACGCAATAGATATATTATGCGAAATATTATCTTGTATTTAATGAATCATTCTGTGAATTTTACAATTTTCAAGCGTATTATCTATTTACTCAAAGATTAAAACATCTAATAATATGTTTATCAAAATTTATATTATCGTATAAATAAATTAAAAAATTTACGTTACACAAGTTAAAGTAGTTTAAAAAAATTATATAGCAATGTAATACTTAATAATTTTTTCAATAATTTTCTACTTTCTAGAATTAAATAAAAAATAAAAACTTTTTAATTAATAACATTTAATTAGTAAATTAACAAATTATAAATCAAATTTTTTATTGTATATGCACAGTTTTTATAACACAGTTTATGCAAATTATAAAATTATAAAATTTGTATAATTTTATTCAATTTATCACTATATTTATTATTATGCAAGTTATGTTTGTTATTATAATAACGTTTAATTTGTTAAACGTAAAATTTCCAATAATAATGGTATAAGAGATCCCAAAAAAATTTATACAATTAACAAAGCCATTTATAATTTCAATTGAACCAGTTAAGTATAAAACTTGTTTTTCGGTTATATTTGAATTTTGCTTCAAAGAAAACCATACAACAAAGTTCTTTGACTTTGTTGGAGAGAACGGTTGTAACTTCTTTTCGAACTACATACGCGAACCCTGAAAGCTAAACCTCTTCGTAAGTACCGACTCGACCGGTTTCTTTTTTTGCTCTGGCGTACCATCAAAGGAGGGACAGTACTCGACCATGCTGACTGGTGTCTGTTACAAAACGATGCTTACAAGCTTCTATACATGTACATGTTCGAAGAAGGGTAACGATGAACACCAGCGAAACTCACGCTTTCCTTGGAATCTCGCAAACTTCGTCTTGGAATTTCGATCGTTGCCTGCTACACAGAACGGGAAGGGGAACAGTTCTCTGGGAAGTGGGAGAAACATCTTTCTTCCTGAAACATCTTGTCCAAGTTTACAGACTTCACCTAGCTGTTTCTGAATCACTTTTACTTTTTATCATTTTACAAGTAATATAATTTTTTATTATATTTTTAAAATTTTTAAAATTTATAGATAATTAAAAAACATTGTAAGTCATATTATTGATTTTGAATTTTCATGTAGTATTTTTTCTTGGAATATTCGTCTAAAAAAATTATTCATATTATTCAAAAATTTTTAATATTTTCATATTAATTTTTATACTATAATAATAATTTTATACTATAAAAATAATAGCTTCTTATTTATATATATTTCTTATTATTAAATAAAAAAATTAAATTTTAATTATTTATACATATAATACAAATTATATCTTAATTGTTACATAAAATTTTCTTAATCATATCATTACTTGATATTTCAAATTTTATAATTATTCAATAAAATTTAAAAATTTATATAAATGTTTTTAAGAGATCTTAAAAGATCATTCTTGAGAATAAACACATAAAATTCCGAAATTTATTTCGATTTAATTCGCTTAAGTTAAAAAAAAAAGTATTTTCCGTATTTGCGTATAATACTTTAAAACTTTTCATTCGGATTGCAAAATACTTCGTTTTGGATTTGATTAGGCCACAAATTGATGTGACTGATGTACGGAAAGTAGCACGGCAAGCAAACGAGAGTGACACCGGTCGGATCGATGCCAATCGATCGCTACGGCGAAACATCGTGGCGAAAGTTTACAGAAAAGTGATAATTCCAAAACACATTGCTTATTCGTGCAGCACTAGAGGAATGGATATAGAAGGAAGAGAGGATAGATATTAGAAAGCAAGGTATGAAATGAAGGAAGAAGAGAAGACGGAAAGTAAGCAGGCAGAGGCAGGCTGGCAGGGCAGGCGTTGGAGAACCGAAGTTTCGCTTTAGGAGCGGGGAACTTAACTGAGTTAACTTTGCTGCCGAACCAAACTTTCCGCCAACTTTAAGTAGTCGCCTCTCCTCTTCTCCTACTCCCTTTTCTCCCTCCTTCCCTTGCTTCACTCATGGCCGTTCGCTCGTTACCCGCTGGAAAGACGAACGCGGAGGCGGAAGGTACCAGAGCAACAGCCCCTCTCTCCCCTTTCAGATCATTCCGTTGTACCCAAGGATGAGAATGCCCGAACGCCGACACTGATACTCGTCATTATAATTGGACAAGTTTCTTCTGCTCCTTTCTTCATTTTAGTACTTGACAGATTTTTTTTTTATTTGTTTTATTTTATTTTATTTTTTATTTTTGTTTGTTTTTTTACATTTTCAATTTTTCGTTCTTTGTTTCTCATTTCTTTTAAATACAGATATTTATTTAAGCATATGTTTATTTTGTATTACAGAAGATTCTTTTTTTCTTTTACAGTTTGGTGACTTGCAGATATTTTAACGATTATGACATTTTTTATTTTTGTAATTGAATTTTTTTCGAGTTTTTTTTTGAGTATTTAATTTTTATTTGGATTTCTTGTTTCGGTTTTATTTGTCAATGTTTCATACAAAATTTTTTTATAATGTGAAAATTTGTTTTTATTTTATGCAATTAAACATACTTTAAAAATAAAATTAGATTTTTTTTTAATAGAATAAAATTTTAATATAAATTTAATGCTAATTTTTTGACATATCATATGTTAAATTATTTAAATGAAATATATCATGATTTTATTTATAAATGAATAAATTTATATTTGAATGATTATATTTAATGTACTGAATAAATTCAAAAACATAAAAGTAATTGAAATATACTTTCAAGTTTTTTAATTAAAATAATGGTATGATTCGTATTTAAAATTGACCTAGAATATGTATTTGTTGATGCTAACAATACATCACTTTAAAAAGGTTTTTATGATACCATATGTGTCATTATAGTGAATGTTATCGCTAGTGCACTTTCCTAATAAGTTTATTTATTTCTACTTTATTATTAGTGAACATCTCGAATATCATATTTTAAATAATGAAGATTTTGTTGTATTAAAATGATTTGATTCTAATTAATTCTTTAACAATAATAATATTTATTGACAAATACTTATTATATTAATCTAGTAAAATATTAAAGAATAAAAAATTAATAAGTGTATAATATAACTTTTAATATAATTAAATTTATATATTGAGAATAATATAATTTTTAATTATTTGAAAGTTGTTTCTCTTGTATGTAATCATAATCAATAATCATAATCAATCAATAGACAATAATGTTATTTTTTTAAACATTCACAAAAAAAACTTGAAAAAGTTTTATTACAATCATTATTAATGAACTTTTGAATTAATTTATGGAATGCTTTTCGAATCTGAATTTTCTTCTCTTCATCGGTCGATATTAAAAACTTGCGCGATTATTATCGCAATGAAGTCGTTTGAATTTCACGTGTCACTAACAAAAACCTAGTCACCTCTCCGCGCGGCAAGTTTTGAAACAAACTTTACTTTATCGTGGCTCGATTGTAGGAAGGGAGAGAGCTGGCAGGACGAGCTTTCCTCCCACCAACGGTTCTCCGCCAAGTAAAGTTGCTCCCAGGTTAGACAATAATTGGATAACTT